ACCGGAGACAAATTCCTTGTGTGTCTAATCACGCTTGACCAATACAGTATTCTATTCTATTCTATTTTAAAAAGTTAAATGTACATTGCAGGAGTTTGTTGGCTACTATCTATGACATTGCTGTAAATGACATTCATATTATGACTTTAAAAATAAACATTAACATCATTATGCTATGGATGCTTATTAGAAAGTAGTCCTTACTGTACTGGATTCATCTTTAGTAACACATAAAGTGCATCTGAAGTCAGTGGAACCAATTGGTTCAGTGGTTTCAATGGTTCTGTTGTATGCATGACTATTTTAGATTCAGCTGAGTTGTTCAATAGGGCTTGTTCTCAGAAAATGATGCACAGAATTGCAGTCTTCATGTTTTTATTCATGTGTTCATTTTTTAAAATTGCCACAACTATTCGTGCAAAGTACTCTTGGAAATCTATATAGCATATAGTGTGATATAGCATCTGATATAAACTGGTTTGAGATAAGACTTTTCAATAGCATTTCCATATTTGTGGAATGCTTTTCCCAGGAGACATAAACTTTATGGTCTTTATCAGAGCCATGTAAAAGGAGTTGAAAAATACTTTATTATTTTTTTTTAAAAAAATTACAGATCAAAGGAGATAATATTCTTCCAGTATATTTTTCCTCAAAATGCCAAATAGTCTTGGCTAAATTATTTCTCTAAATTTACTTCATATGGTGCTTGAAACTATTGTGGTTCTTTATTACATATAGCAATCCTAAGACATAAAACAGTAACTAAAAGAGCTATTAAGGCAATTATTCACTAAAAAAATATACTATACAGTTGTTTCTATTTGATGGTTCTCTGATTATTTGATCTCAAGGTACTACAATGCCAGTAAGTAACTCCCAACTTTTTCACCTTAGATCCTTTATATACTGAATATGAAAGAAGGTTGATATAAATAATTTTATAATTCTATAAGATACAATAGAGCCGATGGAGGGGGCAAAGTCAATCCTTACAATTCTTACAGTCCTTTCCTTTCTGCTGAACAAAATAACAAAATAACTATAAATACAGAGCTCTGCTAATTTAGCACAAATAAGGCAGATTTCAAACTTCTTGCTCCTTTGAGGAGTAAATCACAACTTTAATGTTAAAAGCAAATTAAGTCAGAGGATCATTGTAAAATCCTTTTTTTTCTATTGTAAAAAATTCTTAGAGAAGAAGAACTAGGAAAGTATTTATTATTAAAATGGCTAGAAAGCAAGATTCTTCTTTATAGGATTTAATATTTAAAAGTGATGGAGGATAGGCTTTGCCTTACTTCCACAGGTTCTAAGAATAGCGTGTAGGACTCAATAGAAACATTTGCTTACATAGGAAAAGATCCAAACCAAACTATGCAATCAGAGATATCACTGGGATGGGAAGTAAAATCAGCTCATTGCCATAAGCAATCCCAATTTTTTTTGAGCAAATAAAGTTGCCTATTCTCCAATCTTGCTATCTAGAGATTGCTTTAATAGCAAAATAGCTGATCAAAACTGAAAAAAAAAACCTTTGTTATCCATTAACAGGCAGTATACTAGACTGTAAGATAGGCCATGCTATTAATAATAAATATTCCAAGCATCATATTGGAAGATACTCATTAATTTGATAATGAAAAACCATTGGGACTGCAGTGTTTTGAATTTGTTTCCAAAGAGGTAATTTAAAATGTGCAGGGATGGAAATATAACACCTATCCGCAGGTCTTCAAAACAGACAAGCTATTTACAGAAAAGATGAGGCTGGTTTAAACAGCCTAGAAAGGTGTTATATTTTTAAGTAGTCCAAAGCACTTTTTTGAAATAGAATTTGAAGTAGCTTTAGAAATTTCTGAATTAGCTCAGTTCATTCTTAAATGCTGAAGTCAACAGAAGTTATAATAGAGGAGGAGCTGAACTGGTACATAAATTATGTGTTTGAAATGGTCAGGTGTCATGGCTCCATTGGAGCCCCATTCGGAGGAGGAGGAGTTGGAACTGGGACCTTCCGACAAAGATGGCATGTCTTCCTTGGTATGTTTGGAGAGATCAGGGGCTGAGGACAGTGCTGTCCAGGGTCCCTCTGGCATTGGGGGAAGTGGTTGACCAGACGGAGAGCTGCCTGCCTTCATAGACCCATGGGAGGATCAGCTGCTGAAAGGCAGTGGTGCTGATAGGCAGTAGATCTCCTCTGATGAGGAACAGCTGTCTGCTCCACTCTTTCCAAGGGCATGGAGAGTAGAGTATAGGCAAGCTCAGAGAAGGGCTGCAAGGCTACTTGGGAGGAGGTCACCCCACCTCTCCTCACAACGAACACCTGGAGTAGAGTGACTGAAGGAGAAACCATGGGGAGTTAATCTTTGCCAGGAACAATTGTTTTGGCTTACATTCCCTCAGCTTTCACTCATGCCTTATGCTGTTTGCCTTGCCTTGATGTGAAAGACTGCTTTTCGCCTTTTGTATTGGACCTTGCCTTTGTCTTATGGACTGCTTTTGGCCCTTTGCTTCGCTTTTCTTTTAGAACTGCCTCTTGCTTGTACTTTATCTTTGCTCTGAGGACTGCCATTTGTCTTGGGCCTAGACTCTGCCTTGTGGACTCGCTTAGCCGGGTGGACTGGACTTGGAACCCTGGACCTTGCCCTGTGAGCGTGCTCCTACTCTGTGAGCTTTGTTTGTACTATAGGGGTTGTGGTTTGGGGGACTGAGGGTGGCTGTCTTCAGGGTAGCATGGGGGTGGAGCCTTACTGGCAGTTGGAGGGCCGTTTGCTGGAACTTTTATTGAGAGCAATAAAGGTCTCTCTAGAGGCCTGCCTTGCCTTGACCGCCTGGGTCATAACATCAGGCACGAAAGGACACTGTTTATTAATTTTTATAGGTAACTCAAAGTGCCAAACATACCTAATACTCCTTGCTCCTTCTATTTTCCCCACAACAACAAACCTGTGAGGTGGGATGGGCTGAGAGAGACTGACCCAAAGTCCCATAGAAGGCTTTCATAACTAAAGCAGGACTAGAACTCACAGTTTCCTGGTTTCTAGGCAGCACCTTAATTACTACACCAACTTAGCAGGCATTGTACTGCTTGTCATGCAAACCCATACCAACTGATATTTCTAGTAAATTGCTAAAAAGTGCTTCCCCAGTTGCAGACAATATGAAATGATTTGAGAAGAGTGTTTTGGGGGGTAATTTCCCCTTCTCATAAGCTTTCAATTACAGAGCTTTATACTGTATATGGAACCTGTTTTAGTTGTCCTATGAACCTGTTGTTTTGTTATGTAGCAGACTACAGGTAGTCCTTGACTTACAACAGTTCATTTAATGACTGTTTAAAGTTAAAACGACATTGAAAAAGTGACCTATGATCATTTTTCACTCTTACGAATGTTGCAGTATCTCCCTGGTCATGTGATCAAAATTTGGATGCTTGGCAACTGACTCATATTTATGGCAGTTGCACTGTCCTGGGGGTCATGTGATCAGCTTTTGCAATTTTCTAAGCAAAGTCAATGGGAGAACCAGATTCCCTTAACAACCGTGGTATTAATTTAACACCTATAGCAGTGGTTCTCAACCTGTGGGTCGGGACCCCATTTGGGGTCGAATGACCATTTCACGGGGGTCGCCAAACAAGGCTGTCCGCCATTTTTTCCCTCTTTTCTTTGGCCACGCCCCTGGCACCCAGTGATGTATAACTGGTTGGGGGTCACCACAACATGGGGAACTGTATTATGGGGTCGCGGCATTAGAAAGGTTGAGAACCACTGACCTACAGTGATTCACTTAACAAATGTGGCAAGAAAATGGGGCAAAATTTCCTTAAAAGTTTTGCTTAGCAACCAAAATGTTGGGCTCAATTGTAGTTGTAAGTCAAGGACTACCTATACAAATGTGTAGTATTTCTTAAAAAAGAATATTCTTTCCCTGATCTTAAATAGATGCACTAATTGAAACTTAATTACAGCGGCAAGGTTGTTAATAGGGCAATATTGGAAGAAGGAATTTTTGCCTACTTTGCAGGAATGGTTTCTTAAAGTTTCTTATTTATCTGAAATGGCAAAAATTTCGGCTTTTTTGAAAGATCAATCGCAAGAGAAGTACCTCTTGGTGTGGAAAAGATGGATAAATTTTATACAATATAAGTATGATATAACAAAATATCATTTAGCTTTTGAATAATTTATATTTAAAGTTTAAGATATTATTTAGAAGTGTAGAATAATTTTGTTCTTTTTTATTTTTTTATTTTTTTTCTTTTCTTCTCTTTCTCTTTCTGTTTTTTTATATATAATGGAGTTAATGTATTTAATAATTTGTTTATTGAATGTAATTATATTTGTTTGAGGTTTATTTGGGTTTAAAAGTTTTTTCTTTTAAGTTTTAGTTAACCCTGTATTCATCTCTGGGAAGAATGGGGGAGGTTTTTGGGGTGGGTTGGGAGGGATTGGGAAAGGGGGTTTTTATTGTAAAATTGTAAAAATTTATAATAATAAAAAAAATAGATGCACTGATGTGTTGAATAAAAACTGTGATGTCTGTTGTCAGAAGTATGTCTCTTAGTGCCTTGATTAGGTTATATTAATACATGAACATAATTAATCAGTTCTGGCAAGAAATCAAAAGGTATATTAAGGATTCAGTGATTCAACAGAAATGATATACTGTAATGCTGAAGCTATCTGGTCAATAGGAGGTGTGGCAAGAGAAATTGTTATTTGGGCAGAAATTTGTTTTATTTAGAGAAATAGACCTATATTCAGGTACATGTATACAATCTGGTGCATATGGTTAAGTGTGCCCAGTTTTTAGTTCCACTGCTGTCCGCTTCAGATCCTAAATGGGAGAGTTTAAGAGTAGCATTACTTTACTAGATCAAAGTCATAATATTTGAAAGCTGTTTCTTGATCTATAAACTTCATTTGCTGTAGTTCTTTAAAATTGCATCACATTTAATAAATAATAATCTTATTGAATTGAATAAACAATAGATTGTATTGATGACTACACAAAATTTTACTGATAAAAATCAAGAGTATCTGTACAATAAAAACATAACTCACTGGACAACATAGCAGACATTTCCTGATCTATTAACTGTAAGGAGAAGTTTCCTTTTCCTGAATTTAATCTGTTCCTAATTTACTACGCTGTAACAATGGATGTCCCTATAGAATTCAGTGGATCTAGTTAGTTAATCAGTGGATCAGCAATCATTGTAAGATATTTTTTTAAGCTTGATTGTCCAAATTTTTATGGGATATAACCAGTTCCTTGGCTTTGTGAGGACAAGTTCAAGTTTATATTCAATTTGTTCTGTTTTATTAAGTTGACATGGACTGCAGTGCAGGTATTTTATGTAGCCCCTGCAGATGACTGTGTCAGTGCATGCTATGTGTTTCATGTGTAATAATAAGTACATCTCAATTTGATAATAAACTTCCTTAATTATTTTTATCCAACATTGCTTCTAAACCACAACAATATTTTACATACTGAAAACTAACAGATTGTTGGATTTATGTTACTTAAAAAAGTGGACAAAAATAAATAACCAAATGTTTATTTAAATCTTAACATAAGAGAGAAGAAAAATCTAATAACATTTTATAGTCCCTAAAATAAAATTTGTTTACACTATAGGTATTTTAATAAAGTGATTTGTCTTACTATTCCACGTTGTCTATTTGGTGAATTCATAAAAAAATTAAATTTTAGTTTAAGATGTATGATTTTATTTTTGATTATTTAATTATATTTGAATATTTCAATTCAAAGTATTTGGCCATCTTTATTACAAATGCTTTACACAAAAAATTTCGTGACATCAAATAGCAGTCTCACATACAATTGTTATTATGTCACCATGAATCAGCTGTGAAATAGTGGATCCTCTCAGCCAGTTTTTGTTTCATGATCCTTGTTTCCAGTTGGAATTCTGGCTTGATGTCCTCTAGTGTTGAACTTTGATTCTCTTGACTGTCCATGAAATATGAAGCAGCCTTGCAATGATAGTTCAAAGAAGTTAATCTTTTCCATATTATCCTATCCCACAGGTTAGCAACCTGCGACTCCGGAGCCACATCTGGCTCTTTGAGCCTTCCCCTGTGGCTCCTAACCTCCTCTGCCATTTGCAGAGAGAGACAGAAACAGAGAGAGGCACTTGTACTTCCCTGCTTCTCTCTCTGTCTCTCTCTCATTCATTCTCTCTCTCTCTCTCTCTCTCTCTCTCTCTCTCTCTCTCTCTCTCTCTCTCTCTCTGTGTTTGTGTAAAAGTGAGTAGACTCACAGTGTTCTCCAACAAGCTGAAAAGCTTTTTGGGTGGGGCTCCTCCCTTTGCTGCGTCTCTGCAGGAAACAGGAAGCAGGAAGGGCAGGAGAGAGTTAACTAGCCCAGCTATGCTCACTCAGGAATTCTGGGAGTTGACGTCCATGTCATAAAACAGCCGAGGTTGCCTACCCCTGAGCTTGTTGGAGAACAGCTTGAAGCCAGCTTGCCAGGTAAGCAGAAGATTGGAGAGAAAGAGAGAGAGAGGGAGGAAGAGAGAGAGAGGAAAGAGGGAGAGAAAGAAAGAGAGTGGGGGAAGAGGACTGGCAGACCAAGGGCAGAAATAGAGGGAGAGGGACAGAGGGAAAGAGGGAAAGAGAGGGAGGAGGGAGAGACAGAGAAAGAGACCCTTTTAACATCTAAAATGAAGATAATACTGCATATATCCTTTTTTAATATGTGTGTGTGTGTGTGTGTGTGTGTGTGTATGTATGTAAAAAAAGATATATGCATATTTTGTTACATATATATATGTAAAAAAGGATATAAGCAGTGTTTTGTTTTCGGTGGGAAACGGGTCCAAGTGGCTCTTTGAGTGTTTTGGGTTGCCTACCTCTGTCCTATCCTATCCTATCCTATCCTATCCTATCCTACCCTACCCTACCCTACCCTATCCTGAATCCTGATGGAAATTATTCTCTAAACTGAGAATTAATATGCAGCAATATATTTTAGAACAAAGATTCCTACTCCATTCTTTACTCTGAGTTTCATTTCTAGAATAGAAAATTTTGAATTCATCTAGCTGGAAATGTCCCATCCCTAAACATTTTAGTTCACTTACTCCTAGAATACCTGTCCTAGTCCATGTCCTTTCCACTTTAATGATATCCAGCTTTCCTTAATTCATACTTGTTAGAGAATTTTAATTTCTCTATTGGTGAAAAAATAAATCAGAAGCTCTCACAGTTGACTGCATTTAGCTGATTCAAAATAACTTCTTTATATTCATATAAAAATATTTACAATACTATACTTTCTTCTTTACAGCAACATAACTCAATTGAAGACTTCTTACAGAGAGATACAGAGACAAGCCTGAGACTGGAAATCCAGCTCCTAACTCAATACTCTTTTGCACAGACTCATTAGCACTTTCTTCACATTGGCTGACTGAGTTACCACATGACTCTTCCTACTCATGAATATTCCAACACTCCTCCCTTCATGACAGGAAGAGACATCAGACCTATTGACTTAACACATTCTCCATAGTGAACACTACCCAATGGTTTAGTCATCATGTCTGCCAAATTATCCTCAGAAGAACAATGATGTAAACTAATCAATTTTCTTTTTACAGCTTCCCTGACATTACAATACTTAATGTCTACATGTTTACTTCTGTTCTTCACCTTGTCACCAGTTGCCATTTTTACACAGGCAGCATTGTCTTCAAATACCTTTACAGATTCTTTTACATTAATATTTAAATCTTGTAACAACTGTACTGTTCTCTGCTGCTTTGTAAGGATTTGTCTTATCCCCAACTGCCCCAACCATTGTTGGAATTTAGTTGACATAAATTCATAAACTTGTTGTCTGTACCTTCTCTCTACAAAACTTACCCACTGTTTGAATTGTTGTAGCACCTCTGTCTTTTCTCTAAGCAAGTAGCAAAATGAATACCTGCTATAATCATCAACAATTACCAGTGCATATTTTGCTCCTCCCAAACTGGCTTGCATAGGTCCCACCAGATCTGCATGGACCAGCTCTAGAGCTCTTTTTGTTTGTCTTGTGCTATATTTACTAACTGGGAATGCCTTTGACTTCAATACTTTGCATACTGCACAGTCCAAATATGTTTTGCATCCCTTCAAATTTAGCCCTTCTGCAAAATCTTGCATTTGCTGCAAAACTTTAAAGCTTGCATGGCCAAGTCTTCTATGTAGAACACATGAATCATGCTCTGCAACATTCTTAAATATATGGGAACATTGAACCTTTTGTCCCTGCAGTACATATAGGTTATCTTCCTTTATGCTTTCTGCACAAATATTCCCATTCCTTTTGATGAGACACTTCCCATTTACAAAAATGATCTCAAAACCTTGTTTGTCTAAATTAGACACACTTAACAAATTATGTTCCATCTCAGGTACACAAAGCACATTGGTGAAATATGGAATCTTTGCATCACCTTTTCCGATGACTTTTGCTTTCTGGCCATTTGCCAAAGCCACAGCTTCTTGTGCTACTGGAACAAACCTGAAAAATAATTCAGAGTCATTAACAATCGTTTGACTTGCCCCACTATCTATTAGCCACTTGTCTCTGTTGTTGCTATAGCAAACTTTTGCAACACCAAAATGTTCCTTTTGCAAAGCAGTCCTTTTTGGTTGCACAAATATCCTTTGCTGCAAATTGTTCCTTTGCAAACAGTTCCTTTTCAGATGGTTGTTTGCTCCACAAATGTAGCAATTCTTTTCTTGCTTAGCTCTCTGCCTGCAAAATGTTTCTTCTTCGGAGACTTTCAGTCTGGACCCCCTCCTCAGGAATTTCACCTCCTTCTGGCTGCTTCTAAAATGGCGCTTTTCTTGTTCATTAAGCAAACATGCCTTTAAAGCCTCAAAATTTAAGTCTTGCTCTTTACACTCAAATATGGCAGAAACTGATTCCCAGGTTTTATCTAAACCGTTCAACACCAATAAAACCTTCTGGGACTCAGGGAATTTAATCCCACGTTGTTCTAAATCAGTGGTTCTCAACCTGTGGGTCGGGACCCCATTTGGGGTCGAACGACCATTTCACGGGGGTTGCCAAACAATGCAGTCCGCCATTTTTTCCCCCTTTTCCTTAGCTGTGCTATCCCTTTTATTCTATTGGCTTTTGAAAGCCAATAGAATAGACTCTCTTGAATAGAGTCTAATTCTATTGGCTTTCAAAAGCCAATAGGAATTGTCCAGGCTGTCTCTGCCCTGCTGAGCCGCCAAAAGTCCCATTCTGCAAACTGTGCTGCACCAGTTGAGTATCTTTGACTTACAACCGGTTGAGTAGTCCTCGACTTACGACCGGTTGGGGGTCGCGGCATTAAAAAGGCTGAGAACCACTGTTCTAAGTCCAAAAATAAACTTTGCATTTTATTTAAATGCTGTTCCATAGATTCACCTGGTTGCAAACAGGCCCTGTAAAGTTTTCTTGACAATTGCACTATACTGCATGCAGAAACATTCATGTGCACAGCTCTCAACTTCAACCAAATCTCCTTTGCAGTCTTTAAATTTGCAACATTTAGAAATTGTTCATCATCTAAATTCAAGATGAGATAAGCCATTGCTTGATCATGATTCTTCTGATCAGCAGCTGCAAATACTTTTGGTGGATTTTCTACAATATACCACAGCTCTTTAGCTTTCAGCAAACATTCCATTTTTGCAGCCCATATAATGTAATTCATCTGGCCCAAACGAGGTACACAGCTTTCCTTAAATTCCATTGCAGCCATTCTGCTAATTCTGCTTTGTTCTTATACTTTCTAAACACAGGCAATTTCTTCCAGCTTTAAATTACAATGCAGTCCTTAGTAAGCTCTGGGCCCATAACCTGTTAGAGAATTTTAATTTCTCTATTGCTGAAAAAATAAATCAGAAACTCTCACAGTTGACTGCATTTAGCTGATTCAAAATAACTTCTTTATATTCATATAAAAATATTTACAATACCATACATTCTTCTTTACAGCAACATAGCTCAATTGAAGACTTCTTATAGAGAGATAGAGACAAGCCTGAGACTGGAAATCAGCTCCTAACTCAATACTGTTTTGCACAGACTCAGTAGCACTTTCTTCACATTGGCTGACTGAGTTACCACATGACTCTTCCTGCTCATGAATATTCCAACAATACTGCAGATGTTCTATGTTCCCATCCTAGTGTTTCCAAAAAAACTGTGAACTTTACTTTCAGTTTTGCCTACTATATATCAGCATTTGGACCTTTCTCATAGTGCCTCAACCAACCAAGTTAAACTTGTAAGGTTGTCCATGCTTGCCCTGTCATTGAACCATCTTTAGATTTCAGTGGCATTTTGTGGAACTGTGTTCTTGCAGGATCCAATCTGGATTGATCACTAGCACCAGAGGTTTAGTCTTCTAAGCTTTTGAACTTATGCTGGAGCCCATCCTCAGGGAACTTTTCTCTTACCAGACATTCTGGTGAGGAAAAAGTTCCCTGAGGATGTACTCCAGCATGACTCCGAAAGCTCAGAAGACTAAACTTCTGGTCCCGGTAACCGACCCAGATTGGATCCTGCAACATTATCCTGGGACAGATATATTTGCCTTCATTTGTGAGCAGTGTTCTTCTCCACAGTCCTGCACATCCTACTAATAATGCCTTTCATGATCTGTGACTGCTTATTTGTGGGATACATGCCATTTATATCTCTGAACTGACAACTAAGGGTGATGGGAGTGAGTCTGTAGCTGGTTCCCATAGTAACTTGTCAGTATCATCTTTGTTGATGAGAGGGGAGACTGAGTCTGACAAGAGAGATGTTGTGAAGGATTCTGGAGATAAACCTGAAGAAAGAATGCAAGAATCATTAAGTAAGCATCAATTTATCTCTGAGAAGGAAGAAAGAATGAAAAGAATCTCAGATAACTTCGTCTTGATTTGGCTTAGTATAAGAGGGGGTAGAGGGAAACAGATTTACAAGATGCTATTTATTATACTGTACAAAAATGGAGTTCTAGTACTCCTTGTGCAGTCTACCTTGAAGGGCTGACACCAATAGTCACATAAGGCAAATGATGTGTATTAGTAATGGGGACAGGGCTGCATTTTTGCAATCTTTTAAAATCCTTTTTTAAAGTGACTATTCTAAGATTAATAGGTGCACTGAAACAAATAAGAGGCTTGCTTGCCTGTTGAAAACTGACAAACTCATAATGATGTAATTCACAATACAGTCTTGGGGAACTTGAAAGCACTAAAAATTGGGATTGCAGGCCAAAATCAGTTGTCCCCAGCAATTAAATTTATATCTGTCTCTTAGGAATGTTTACAGATTTTAATGGGCTCTGAATTGTATAAAAGCAAGGAGCATTCAAGAACAGAAACAATTCCAACTGTTTAATTTTCCAATGATTGAATGCAATGAACTAGGATGCAAGATGGAAGGTCATGCTGTAATATACAATGTGTCCCTTCATTTAAACACTAACTTGGCAGCCAGAGTGGTATTAGCAAAGGGAGTGTTGATCGGTTAGAAATACAGTAGTTGATTGCTGGAAGGTGGGTACAGCACTAAAGTGAAGTTCATTTTTCCCATTTGTAGTTTGAAATAGTATTTGCTAGCCACCTGAGAAATTCAGAACACAGTCCCAAAGCTTGTTCATAAGTAAATTTAAAGCCACAAGAACAATACAAACAAAGGAGAGGAAATCATAGAAATAAAGACAGAGGGAATATCTTGATGAACTTTAGTGAGTAGGAGGTTCAGTTATTAACTATTCAAAAATGGCACTAGATATGATTCACAATATTTAACAGTTGTAGACCATCAACAAGTAGGGTAAAATGGAAGAATGTAAAGCAAAGTATGTTTATGATCAGGTAAAGAGACTTAAAGATATTTAAGTCTCTAATCTCTAAAGACATTTAATCTCTTCACTTATGGGGGAAAGATTCATGGGTGCTCAGGATGCATTAGAATAACAATGAAAAGGCATGGAGGAGAATTCAAGGTTAGAGGAACAAAAAGGAAAAAGGAGGGAGAGTTGCCTTTTTCTAAAACTTAAGATGTAAAGATAAGTAAAACAATGGAAAAGATCTTTTCTTTTTAAAGATACAGTAAGAAAACTAAATGGAACAAAATCTAACAAAGAGGTACACATATAAAATACGGTCACAGTGTTGAAGAAATACGGATTGAATACAAAAGTGAGTGGCTAAAATGAAAGAAGTACCTTGAGGTGGTTTTGTCCAGCAATGCTGAATGGATATTGAATTGTAAAACAAACATATGAAAGAGTAGATGGGTTGGCTGAGAAAATCAGGGTTGAGAGATGAGAAATTTGAAAACAAAAGGCATGGACTGAAGTTAAATTTGTACATCGCAGAAGTGAGGTTGATTTGCAAGGACAGAAAAAGAGATTAAGACCAAGAATTTAAAATGTCAGGGGATTGTTTATGTTATGATAGTGTCACAGATTGTTTTGGGAAGTAATAGGTGCTCTGAGATATTTAAACAGAGGCTGTACAATTATATTTTGTAGATTCTGTAGTTAAGGAATATATGGCTGTTCTAGGTCCGAGGACTGCATTTATGTTGAAAGCTTCATTGTTTTAACAATTCTTTTAACAACTGGCCCCCATCTTCACACAACTTTTTAATAAAACACTGGAGATGTGTTGTGTCCCTTCTTGCTTTAAATGCTCTACTATTATCCCGATTCCTAAGAAATCCATCAGGGAGCTGAATGACTACAGACCGGATGCTCTGACATCTGTAGTTATGAAAACCTTTAAGAGGTTAGTGCTGGACCACCTGAAAGTCATAATGGATCTGCTGTTAGATCCCTTGCGGTTTGCCTACCGAGCAAATAAGTTGGCAGATAATGTCAATATGACATGACATTGCACTACATCTTGCAACATCTTGAATCCCTGGGGACTTATGCATGGGTCCTTTTTGGGGTCTTCAGGTCAGTGTTCAATACCATAATTCCAGAAATTCCTCATTCTAAACTGATCCAGCTCACTATGCCTATGCATACTTGCAGGTGGATAATCAGATAGGAAGCAACAGGTGAGGTTAGGGAAAATTACATTTTGTACTCGGGCAACTAGCACAGGTGTCCGTCAGGGCTATCTGCTTTCTCCATTGCTCTTCTCTCTATATACCAATGACTGCACCTCAAGGGGACCTACAGTTAAAGTTCTGAAGCTTGCAGATAATATAACAATAATTGGCCTTATTTGAGAGACAATGATGAGTCTGCTTATAGATAGAAGGGTGAACAACTGGCCCTGTGGTGCAGCTGTAACAATCTGGAGCTAAACATGCTTAAAACTGTAGAGATGAGAGGGGTTTTAGGAGGGGCCCTTCTATTTTACCTCCTCTTAGTATATTCGACAGCACAATATCAGCAGTAGAGTTCTTAAAGTTTTGGGATTCTATAATCTCCCAGGTCTTGAAATGGATGCTTAATATTTGCTTGTTTTATAAAATTTATTGGCTACCCATCTTACCATAGAATAATTCTGGACAGCTTACAATTAGATAGATAGATAGATAGATAGATAGATAGATAGATAGATAGATAGATAGATAGATAGATAGATAGATAGATATAACAAATTATAAAACACTATAATACAATTAAGATAGTGAGGGCAGGGGCAGAGTGGGGAAAGATGGGATCTGTTGTTAATTGATCAACCACCTCCATTGTGATGCTCCCCCACTGGGGCTCTGTGATGTCTCTCCCAGATGCTTCCCAAGATACCTGTCTAGATGGCAGCTTGGGGGAGGATGAACCAGTTCCTGGCACATCAAGAGTGAGTTGATTGATGGCTCCAAGCAGCCGTTGTGAGGGAATTGGCTGAAGCACAGCTGCAGTAAAATACTCCTGAGACTCCAGGTGGGGAAAGCATGTAGCTGCAGCTGGTCAGTTATGAGAAAGAGGAACTGCTTTCTGCACCTGATCCAAGAACACATATGACAGAAAAAAGGCAGGAGCAGAGATGGTCAGTCAGATTATTCATGAGGAAAAAGCCTTGCCCTTCTTGATGGGGCAAGCACCCATCAAACACCAGAAGCTGGCTATTTAGTACTGCAGAGAGATGGGGACGATGCTGGGAACGATGTGTTTGTTTCCTAACTATGGGTTTTCTGGTCGTTGTGATTCCTGCCTCGCTTTGAATTGAAACCATGCCTTGACTTGGATCATACCTTGGAAACTCTGGACTTGTCATGCCTCATGAACTCTCTCATGTTGTGGATTTAAGTTTGCCTGGTGGATTTATTTTGATTGAAAAACTTTCAAGTGCCTTGTGGACTCTTTGGCTATTGCTCTGAGGACTAGCATTGGTCTGTTTGTGGCTGGATTTTTGGTAAAGGGAATTGCTGGGCAATATTAAAAACATACTAAACCAGTTATGTATGTGTGAGTGAGTGGGACAGAACAGGCCCCAAGCTAACTGGCAGAGCCAGGTCTTCAGGTTCTTACAAAAGGTTAGGGGGGTTGAGGCTGACCTCACATTGGGGGGAAAGATGTTCCAGAGGGCAGATGCAACAGCAGAGAAGGCCTTTCTCTTGGACCCTGACAACCAGAATAATTGGGCTGATGGGACCCACAACATGCCTTCTCTAATGGCATGGGAGGGTACGGGCCAATTGCAGTGGGATGAGTAATATTAGAACTATGATTAAAAAGGCACAACAAAGAATGTTCTCCCCTGAATTAACTTAGGGAATTCAAACTGCCCCAGGAATTGCTGATACAGTTTTACAGAGAAATTATTGAGTCTGTTATTTATACTTCAATAACTGTCTGGTTTGATATGACAACCAAATAAGACAGGTACAAACTACAATGGATAATCAAGGCTGCAGAAAGAATAATTGCAACCAGCTTGCTTTCCATAGAAATCCTGTATATTGCATAGGTCAGAGGAAGGCCAAGAAGATATCTGCACACCCCTCACATCCTGGACATAAACTGTTTCAACTCCTTCTCTTGGGATGGTGCTATAGGGCAGGGCTTTTCAACCTTTTCACAGATTGTACCACTTTTAGGATATAACAATATTCGAGTACCACCAGTCGCCTAACAAGATGTCAAAAACTTGATGACCAAAAAAAAAAAGGGGAAAAAGTGATAAAGTACAGGTAGTCCTCAACTTCAACAGTGCGCTTAGTGACTGAACTTACATCATTGAAAAATGACCATTTTTCACACTTATGACTGTTGCAGCATCCCCAAGGTCATGTGATTTACATTCGAATGCTTGGCAATTGATTCATACTTATGACTGTCACAGTATCTCAGGGTCATGCGATCACCTTTTGCAACTTTTTGACAAGTCTAGCTGTGCTTACCTTATCGTCAAGGCTGCTGCTGCTGATGTGCCCACTCTCCTTGGCCAGGTTGCTCATGATGGGTGCAGGAGGGCAAAGTGGTTGGGTCAGAGGGAGGTCCACTCTCTCTCCATGTGAGGAGACCCAGCTTTGTAACCAAAGCATTCTTGGGGATAGGAGAGATAGAGAGACCACGAGGATAGGCCAGGAGGAGGGGGCAAGGGGATGCAAAATGGCAGCAGAGCTGTTGGTGGCCAAGTGCTAAGGCAAGACCTCCCTCAGACCCTCCCTCCCTCCCTCTCATTCCAATCTCCCTCCTTCTTTGCTCCCTCCATCCATCACTACCCTCCCTCTTTCCCTGCCTCCCTGCTTCTCATTCCAGTCTTCCTTCCTTCCTTCCCTTCCCTTCCCTTCCCTCCCTCATTGTCCCATCCTTCCTTCCTTCCCTCCCATTGTCTCTTTCTTCCCTCCCTCCCTCTCATTGTCCCTTCCTTCCTTCCCTCCCTCCCTCCCTCCCTCCCTTCCTCCCTCTCTCTGTGCCCAGGAAGGGACAGGGGAGGGGGAGAGGCTGCCAGCATGGCCAGTGACACGGCTGTCGGTGGCCATGGCTTGAAAGGCCACTATAAATTCCTGGACAAGAGCCGCACAGCCATGAGAGCAGAGTGGTGGAAAGATATTTGTAATGAGGGAGAGAGAAAAACAGGCAAGAAATGCAGTTGGGGAAGGGTTGCCCTCCGATAGGAATGAAGAAAGGCAGCATCCCCTGAAGGAGATCAGCAAATGGTTCTTGCCCACTTCACACATCCGTGGACTCCAGGGGGGGGAAACGCCGTGAGTGGCATGAGAGTCCACGTTACCTCCGCTACACCGCCCTACCCTGATTTTGGCAGGCAGTGGCCCAGTCTCCTCACCGTATGGAGAGGCTGGGCTGGGCGAGGTGAACTGGCAAAACTGCCTAGGTGAGCATCTGGTGCCTGGAGTCCCAGATGAAATGGAGGCACTTAGAACGTGGTCAGCCTGCAGGCAAAACAATCACCCGGGACTCCTCCAGTTTCATAAATCATAGGAGGGCCGAGGTTGGAGGAGAGGAATGGTGGCAAAGTCACCAGGGCAAAGAGATTACAAAGTAGCTGGATGGGGTTGCATCGGGAACTTCCCACCCTTAATTCTATCCAGGGTCATTTACTTTCTTCTGCTGCAGGTGCTTTCTGAAAACAAACACCCAAATTACTTTGATCTGATTATAGCACAGCCCTCCAATCCCTACTTCCCTCCCCCCCTTCCAAAAACTCTCAGCCTTTGATTTCCTCCTGAAGACGAAAATTACCATGCCTCTTACCATAGACCTCTTGTCCCCTGATGTACACCGCGTGGAGAGGCTGGTGGAGAGGCTGGTGGAGAGGCTGTACCTACTTGGGCATGCGCAGAGGCAGCGGTGAGCACCTGGCACTTGGTGTCTCAGGTGAAAGGGAAATGCTTAGAATGCAGTCAGCCTGCGGGGCAAAACAATCACTTGGACACCAGGCACCATGCGCTCACCACTACCTCTGCATGCGCCCAGGCAGGTTCGGCTTTTCGCCAGTTTGCTTCACCCGGTCCAGCATCTCTGTGCGGTGAGGAGAGTGTGCTGCTGCCTGCCAAAACCAGACAGGCTGGGGTCTGGGTGGCATAGCGCAAGTAATGTGGACTCTCATGCCACGACCCTTCCCCAGAAACTGGTTTCCGTTTCTTACCTGTTTGTCGCTGCCACCTGTGTGCGCACACAGCCTGTTTTTTATCCTCTCCTTTCTCACCCCTCCTTTTCTCTTCAGTGCAGCTCCAGCTGACTCTTCCTCCTCCTCCCAAGGCTGCTTCTTTTTTCTCTCTTCCTCTCCCACCCAAACTGCCTCCTTTTATATCCCTTCCTGTCTCTGCCCGTCCTCCTCACTTCTCTTCCAGGCGTGCTGGAAGTGCTGATCCTGGGGCCTTGCCCTAGCAGCCCAGCAGCTCCCGAGGACTCTCTCATGGCAAGTCCTGCACTGCATTGCTTTGGCTCGTTCCCTCCCCGGCTACCCTTGGTTGGGCTGGGCAGGGCCGCGTACCACCTGTCACGTGCCAATGTACTACCAGTGGTGTGCGTACCACCGATTGAAAAACCCTGCTATAGGGCATTGTGTGCCAAGACAACTAGACACAGGGATAGTTTTTTCCCTTGTGACATCACTGCTGAATTCTCATAGATAGTTCTGGCTAATGTATATTTATATTAACCCATACAGTGTGGTTGAAGTATTATTATTTATCCTTTTTATTATCTTCTTTACTTTCCCCTTTTATTGGTATTATTATTTTTACTGTTATTCTCTCTGTTGCTTTGTAAATACACCGAAGTGTTTCTGTACTGGATACAAATCCCTTGTGTGTCTAATCACACCTAGCCAAATAAAGTATCCAATCCAATCCAACCCAATCCAATTGCTTTAATTGCTTTAATTTTTAATAGTGAAAAGCTGTAATTGTTTTTAGTACTTTTTATTATATTGTATGCTGTCCAGAGTCATTGTATCAGTGAGGTGGGAGGCATGGAATTTTAATAAATAAAAAATAATAAATCTGGATTCTAAACAGCAATGAGGAGGGCAAACAAAATTTGATTTAATTTATTTAAAGTTCAAATTGAATTAAATTTGGTAGAAGGCCTGGAAAATAAATATGTAGCAACTTTGGAGAAGATATGGGGGTTGCATCTAAAGATGGACTATTTTATCCTGCTTTAGTTGGATTCTGTATTGTAGATCCTTTAATGGCCAAGTAGTTAGATTAGATGATCTCCACTGTGTATTCCAAGCATTGAATTGTATGATACCCAAACATCACATCTTATCTTCAGAAACAAGGGATGAAAACTGAAGTCTTCTTTAGCTTCATTTCTGTCCACCTGGGAAGATGACTTCACTGAGAGACAATACAGATAGTCCTCAACTTAGGACCACACTTGAGCCCGCTAAGAAAGAAATTTGTTAAGTGAGTTTTGCCCCATTTTATGACTTTTCAAGCCACATTTGTTAAGTGAATCCTTGCGGTTGTTAAGTTAGTAACATGGTTGTTAAGTGAATCTGGCTTTCCACTGACTTTACCTGTCAGAAGGTTGCAAAAGGGGATCACATGACTCTGGGATACTGCAACTGCCATAAATGTGAATCAGTTGTCAAGCATCTGAATTTTGATCACATGACCGTGGGGATGCTGCAGCGGTCGTAAGTATGAAAAACAATCAACTCACTTTTTTCAGTGCCATTGTAACTTCGTACGGTCATTAAGTGAACTGTTCTAAGTCAAGGACTGCCTGTATCTTTATTGCATTTGCGGGGAATAGTAAAGCTAGAAGATGCAATAGTAGAGAGTAAGATGAAATTCAAGGTATCTTTCTTTGTCACACAGTCCATTAGTAATTAATTAATTTCAGCAATAATTAATTCTAAAATGTTGCACTTCCATTTTTTAGAGCACAATAATGGGCTGATTCAATCATCTCTTAAGGCAAAATTACACATCAGAAAATACAAAAGTTGTCGCCCCCTTTTCTTGATCCCCCCCCTTTTTGACAGCATGAATTTTATCACAATGTATTACTTTGGTATGAGTTTACTTTGCTTTTTATTTTTCTGCTGGATAATAATCAGATGTGAGAATCTGGAAAAGTACATATAGTAGTGGTGATGTCAGTTCTTAAATTGCTATAAAAATGTATTAAAAGAGGGAGAAATAAAATGACAGCAGCTTAAAGTCTTCTGCATCAAAGAAATACAATATTTGTTTCCCAAGTGGCGAAATACTACCTTTAATGCATTACAAGATCCAAAGAAATGACAAATTTAAATTGTTGTCTTAGATGCATGAACCACTAGAAGATGATTTCCTCCATGGAACATTAATTTCCTCTATTTCTGTCTCTGTAAGTGTATTTAGTACTTTCAGAAGGGCAATATAAAAATAAACGGGATTTCTCAATGCATTTCACATGGAAATTACAGCTGCAAGATACTAAAAAATTCACAAGCATCCTTGAAAGCATGAAGCCATCCTTCACGCAGTCAACAAAAGATGCTGGGAAGCAATTTTAACGGAAGCGTCCTGCATTTTCATGGGTGAATCCTGCCCACGGTTCTGATGAAATAGCTAAATCCCTCTCTGCCCCTGTATATATGCATCTATATATGTATGTGTATATATGTTTGTGTGTGTGTGTGTGTGTGTATACACATGTGCATGTAAGTATCTATACATGTATTAGATTAGACTGCATTTAAAACTACTGTATCAAGCAGACATGCATATTAAAAAATACTCCAAGTATGATATTTTCTATATTATTTCATTGGGAAATTCATGAAAACATATATTGTGCTTTCTTGCTGATGCTAGATGACGTTAGTTCTGGAATGGAATTTCTAGTTAGAACTATAATAGCTGAGTAAAAATGTTAAAATTTCAATATTTTTATCATTAATTCATCTAATTTGAATTTGGGAATTTTCTAAAGTTATTTAAACTATTTTTGAGGATTCAGCCTGCCTTAGCTGCATAATGAAACATGGAAATTAAACATTATTTATTATTATAAGTGAAATATATCAGAGTTGGTCCTTAATATGAATTGTCTTTTCAATTTGCACCTGGCTTAGAGTTCTGTAAATAGCCATTTCTGGCAACATCTGAAACTGTCCCGCTTTTCTATGAATTTTTCTTATCATCTTGAAGACAGACAAAAAGACTGTTTGTATTTGCATCTGCATTACTTCTGCATTTTTCTTCCACTACCTAAAGGAATACCTTCGCCCATAAATTAAACTTTCATTTTGCTTTCTTTAAAGAAATTAAGCTGCTCACAGACATAAAGGGAAAAAGAATCCCAAACAGCATTCTAATTAAATTAGATATATTTGTTTAGTATGAGGGAATCCATGGCCTTCCTAATATTGGCAAACTATAGTAGAGTCAAAAGTGAAGAATGCAGGGCTTTACATATGAAAACACCTTGTGGGCCAGTGGTTGCTTAACCCTGCTTTAATAGCAATATTAACAACTAAATCAAAAATCTAACTATTAAGCAGGCCCAGCGTTGGATTGAGATCACTTGTCAAGGTCACGTGATTCATAGTGTCCATAAAAGACAATGACTTCCTTGCCATCTCTAAAATTGTCTTCCTTTTGGGAATAAGAAAACTGTGCAGAAAACTTAGTGAGCCAATCATTCTCTCCATCCTTCATCTTAGGATTGCCATTTGGAGAATAACTGGAACTCTTTTCGGCTGAAGGAAAGCCAAGATGTAAAATTTTAGGATTTCAACTAACATTAATTACTTAAATTAATATTGCCATTTTTGCATGACTTAATAGGTAAGTGTTTATATAGTTATTCAAAATGGTATCAGAGCTACTTCTATGTATAATTTAACTGCTTAGTTCATTTTCTTTATGCTTTTACAGGCCATCATTCAGAACAAAACTCCTAATGTAACTGACATTTAGAAAAGAAATTCCATGAATGTCAGAATTAATACAAAGTTCCATATAAGAATAGTAGGTTTGAGAAAACCTATTAGTCAATCTGCAACCACAGCTTTGTCTAGGACACCAAGGGTCAGTGACTGAAATCACAGTAGGCTTAATAGCATGGCAGAATTATTTTTGCATTGGTTTTATCCTATTGTGTCAATTGTGTACATTTACGTATATTTCCTATATTAACATTGGTCTTCTCCAATGTTATCTATCCCATATCTGGGATAGCTTATCTATCCCATATTTGGTAAAGTCATTTTTATATACATAGCACTGGCTTTATTTTCCTCTATTATTTATGTAATCTTTCTAAAGCATGGTTGCTTAGTGTCCTATGTTAATGAATGATTGTAGTGGGAAAAGAGACATTTGAAAGTGTTTAAGTATTCTGGCAAGCTAGTGGGAAAAAAAATGACCAAACGCTCCCTCTCTTCCCTTTCTCTCCATTGCAGGATGAAGATGAGACGTCACAAGCTCTTTTTGACTCTGTGCATGGCTGGTCTCTGCCTCATCTCCTTCCTTCATTTCTTGAAAGCCCTCTCCTATGTCACATTCCCCAGAGAGCTGGCATCGCTTAGCCCTAACTTGGTGTCTAACTTATTTTGGAACAATGTACCAGTCACACCTCAGGCTAGTCCTGACTCTGGGGGTCCAGAAATTCTCCGTACCCCACTATATTCCCACTCGCCACTGCTTCAGCCTCTTTCCCCAAGCAGAGCTGGTGAGGAGCTGCACAAAGCTGAATTTGTGCTGCCTGAAGACACTACAGAATACTTTGTACACACTAAAGCTGGTGGTGTCTGCTTCAAGCCAGGGACTAAGATATTGGAAAAGCCACTAGCAGGACATCCAGAGGAGAAGATAGAGGGAGTTATATCAGGGCGCATAGGCCGTAAACCTCTGAGTGCCACTGGGACAAAACGACGTAAATGGGTGGAGTGTGTGTGCCTGACAGGCTGGCATGGACCCAGCTGTGGTGTTCCCACCGTGGTTCAGTATTCAAATCTCCCCACAAAAGACCGTCTGACACCACGGGAGGTGCCCAGGAGAGTCATTAATGCCATTAATGTGAATCATGAATTTGACCTCTTGGATGTGCGTTTTCATGAGCTAGGTGATGTGGTGGATGCTTTTGTGGTTTGCGAATCAAACTTCACAGCATATGGTGAACCACGCCCTCTCAAATTCCGTGAGATGCTACTTAATGGCTCCTTTGATTACATCCGCCACAAGGTGCTCTATGTCTTCCTGGATCACTTCCCCCCTGGTGGGCGCCAGGATGGCTGGATTGCTGATGATTACCTGCGTACTTTTCTAACTCGAGATGGCATCTCTCGCCTCCGCAATTTGCGTCCTGATGATGTTTTCATAATTGATGATGCAGATGAAATCCCAGCACGTGATGGTGTGCTTTTTCTCAAACTCTATGACGGTTGGACAGAGCCTTTTGCCTTCCACATGCGCAAATCTCTTTATGGATTTTTCTGGAAGCAGCCTGGTACTCTAGAAGTGGTTTCTGGTTGTACAGTTGGAATGCTCCAGGCTGTCTATGCCACCGATGGAATTCGCCTACGCCGGAGAGAATATTATACCATGCCAGGCTTTCGACAGTATGAAAACAGCACAGGTCATATCCTAGTACAGTGGTCACTGGGCAGTCCACTCCACTTTGCTGGCTGGCATTGCTCTTGGTGTTTTACACCTGAAGGAATTTATTTTAAACTGGTTTCAGCTCAGAATGGGGACTTTCCCCGTTGGGGTGACTATGAGGACAAGCGAGACCTTAATTATATCCGGGAGTTAATTCGGACTGGTGGGTGGTTTGATGGTACCACCCAGGAGTATCCACCTGCAGACCCCAAAGAACAAATGTACGCCCCCAAATACCTTTTGAAGAATTATCAACGGTTTTGTTACTTGTTGGAAAATCCCTATCAGAAGGCAAAGGGAACAGGGTGAGGGGAGTGGGCTTGCATGAGAAAACATGGAAAAAGGGGAAACGGGAAAGTGAGACTGTCTTTTGTTTTTTTCCCCTGCCCCATTCTACTGGGATATGTACATTCTCTCTAACCTATCAGACCCACTGCAGACAAGAGATTTAGGGTATGTGTGTGTGGAAAGGGACTCCTAGTTATGTGAATAACTAGGAACATTCCTGTCCCCAGGAACTAGCTTTTTGTAAGACTGAAGAAAAATCTGATGCAGGAAGCATCCGTAAGACATGGGATTTGGGGAGCATGCAGTGGATGTGTGAGGGTATGAATGTGCCAAAGCCTCTACAGCCTTTGTAGTACAGCTAAGGATAGCCTTCAATTCCATTTTTAAAACCTAGTTTCTTCTAAGAACTTTGGCATCAATGGCTGTTCTGCTTTCCTAATATATGGCCACTAAGAGAGATTTTGTCAGTGAAAATGGACATTGAGCTCATCTAGGATCTTTATATTTTGCCACGTGTGTCTGTTATATGAGGATATAAAGATGGGAGCACACATAAACTGGAAGCATAGTAGCACCAAAGAATTCTGCTTTCCATCTCATGATTATGGACATTCAGGGAAACTTTACAAACTGGCAGGGTATGAAGGTTCAAAAGCTGTCTGATTTTGGATATATTTTGGATAGCTAGCCTTTAATATAAGAATAAGATGACAGCACAACCTGTAGCCCACAGATTTGAAAAGAGTATAGCTATCACAGATACACTTCCCTCTTCTTCAGCAACACAATGTGATGTTTACATTTGCAACTTAAACAGGGTGTGTCTAATGCTTCAGAGGAAAGGAGAGATCAGCTCCAGTGCCCGTCTTTCTACTTCTGAAACAGGAGAAGTGCAAAGGTACTTGGCTCTATGATGCCATTGTTTTGAGGACAAGATAATATTGTTGCTGTACTAATGCCAATCATTTGGTTTGCAAAGGCAGAGACGGGGAAGGAGAGTGTCTATCTGATGGAAATGAAATGAGAAGCCAACAGTTATAATCTGGATGCCAAGCATTTATATGTTCCATTTATTTTTGCAGCTTTTCTTTTCAATGAAATATATCAGTGCCCCCCATTACTTATGTGTCTATGGCCCTAAGTCAGGATAAAAAACAGATCAAGGTTTACATTCTGTTAGCTGCTAGGAAAATAAATGAAGCAATGAGGAGGAGTTCAAAAAGAATTTCTTTGTCATAATGTGTTATTCCGGTCTGCACCTCTTTCTATCCACCCAGCATTTTACACTTTTTTCTGTCTTTATAATATTTGAATTCCTACCCTTCTAGAGAATGCAAGCCATGTTGTTTGTGATTTGTCTTTTGCACATTTTGTCTGTGCAATATACTCTGCCAGTTCATCTTCTAACTTTTTTTATGTGGTGTATGTCTAAATACAGACTCTTTTCCTATAGCAAAATTTCAAGAAAGAGGATTTGAGCTGGGAGGAGATGAATAGGACTTTTTGGTATGCGCTTCAAGGATGGCTCCTTCACCAGCAAAGTAATATTCTGTTACTTGAATGAATTCATCAATAGTTTAAAAAGAAGTTATTTTATGATAAGTACAAAAGAGCCCTGAGCTTGCTTAAAATCTGTCTTGTTACCAAGAAGAGATCTGTACTATTTTTTATCTTGTGATCAGCATAAGGATGAAGTCAATGTTAAATTAAGTTAAACTTTCCCTCTATAGATGTTGTTACCTGCTCTTTCATAAAATTAAACTGAGCCAGAGAAGATACATATGCTTTATATTGTGAGAAAGATTTGTCGTGTCAAAGGAGAACTGTTGGGCACAACAGAAAACAGTATTTTAGGGGTTCATGTGGCTATGCTAAAGCAAATGTGTAGCAATAGCAAAAGAACCACTAGTGAGGAACTAAAGGTAGTGAAACACCAGTTTTCTTAGTGTTTCTTCATTGCAGATGCAGGAAGTGTTTTGCCTTCACCCTTGTGAGGAAATGAGAATCTAGGTTACAACTCCATTGCTCCCTGGTTCTAATTAAACTTCAACCACCAGGAGGTCTATCCACACACTCAGTCATAAGAAGTGACAGGAGTTGATATCCAACATCAGAAGGATTGCAAGTTGTCCACTTTGGCATAGGGCCAACTCTTTCCACTACAGTGTTCTCTTATTATGTTGGACTTCATATTTGGAAAGCTGAGAAAGGCTATTCAAGAGGCTATAGTTTTCAGTGCTTATAATTCCAAAGTTCCATTAAAAACAGTAATTAGGAGATGTTTCTTCAGTATCGATAGGGACAAGGGAAATAGAGGAGGTGCTTCCAAACTACTGTAACAGGGAAAAATTGCATTTTTATACTCAGTGAGACATAAACTGGGAGGTTGAAGCATATCTGGGTATTGGGTTCAGGTCAATCAATTTTACTTAAAAAGACAAATAAAATGTTTTTCTATATCATTATTATGGAGTTTCCTAGAAGAATGTACCCTTTCCTTCAGCTCAGTCAACATTGATTTTGACACACATATAATCTTCCATCTTTTGTATCTATTACTGTGCCTGACTTTTACAATGAATGCCCATGAATACTTAATTCACACATTAGCACAATTTTTTGGTTTCATCTGTCATCAGAATGCAGACAAAATGTTTCTGAGCTCTTCTTTTATCTTCTACAAGTTTTTTTTACCCCCCCCCCTTTTCTTTCCCGCATCTTTTTCTCCCTTTATTTTTTTCCCCTTCCACTATTGTGTTTAAGGAACAGATCCCATTCTAAATGGGTATGTTAGCACTAAATTCCTCTGGGACACTGAAAGGACTCTTTGTTCTGATCTCCTCCTCTAACTGCACTAAAGTGAAACTTGAAACTGACCTCTATTGGGAGAGAAAAGGAGAATTTACAGTAAAACCTTTGCTTTAATAATAGTAACAACAAACTTTTGCACAGGACAGCTTGAAACACTTCTAGTATATGAACCATCTATTTATTTATTATATAGCTACTAGCATTCAGTTTCATAGAACAGACTGTAAGGAACTTTGCACTAATAACAATCCTTTGGGCATCTGTTGTAGGGTTGGGTATGGGAGACTATTAGTTTTGGGAAATGGCTCTTTTCTTTCTTTTTTCCTTCCCAGCCATCGTGAATAACTGGAGCTAATAGGATAATGCCTCTTAATGATTGTTGATCAAATATATATATTTCCTTTACAGCCTTTACCTCACCCCCTTCTATTCTACTGTTCCAAACAAATATTCTGAAAAGTATGGCAGCCATACTGAGTAGTTGATAAGTGGTGCCTATTTTGCAGACTGCATTTGGACTTGGGTTCTCATTTGTATAGTGTTCAGAGAACACCTTACTCCTACAACATTCTACTCCTTTTTCAAACCAGGCTATAATATTGGTCCTAGGCTATGCCTCTCTTGAATTGCAAGTGGAGGAATTCAGTGACCTTCTTTATAAAGCATAAATTTCTCTCAATACAGAGAAGTACATTAAGAGAGAGAAGATTTTTATAGTACCAGCTTTTATGATGTGCTAATTTTGTGACTGCAATTGGGATGTGCTCTGTCCTGTAGTCCATTTTCGGCAGTTTACCATAAGAGAGGTCAGGACCAGTTCTATTATTTACTTCTTATATGAACTAGGCTAATCATGGCTTTATTTTATTCTTATCTTATTATCTTTTAATCTCTTATACAATACAGACAGCAACTTAGAAGATTTCTGGAACTATTCTACCACCTTTGTCCATTTCTTCTAATTCTCATTTTCTATGTTCACTACAATTCTGACACATCTTATTTTAGCCTTTTACAACCTGCTTTTAGAATAGCAATCAAGCCCACTTAAGCAAAATCTGTGGTAGCTGAATATTAATGCAATTGCTGTCTCAATATCTAGGAAAATACTAGGTTAAGAAAAGTTCTTCTAGTTAAATAAGATATCTGGCATTAACTGGAGGATTGTATATGTTCATCATTTGATTCTCTGTGAGGTTTTTTTCCTTACTTTCCCTATCTCTCCTACTATATAGCTCCATATTACGTTCCCAGTATCTGTATTACAAAAACAGGAAGCTCATTTTATTTACTTTAGCAGACATACTGTTCAAGGAGATTCTGAATCATTTAAAAGTGTTATATTTTTTAAAAATTGCAGTTGAAACAGACTTTGAACCTGAACTGATATTTATATTGGTTCTTTGCTTGCTTCTGGCCAATCACTTATGTTTTTCTCTTTTTTACTCCTGGTTTCAAGTGATAGATGTCTGACTTACACTCACGTTCTGGCATAGATTGTAAGGGACAAATATTATGTCTGGTACATCTATTAAAAGCTAAATGCTTTAATAAAGGAAGGGGCTGCTGTTGCCTTCATTTATGTCTACTTCCAAGGTGCTATTCCACCTTTGGAGAAACTTTAAAAGGGAAAATATGTTGCTTGTAAGTCCAGTGGAAACAGAGGCCTTAATAACACTACAGTTTTAGGACATAGAGGTAATTGTGTTACATCATCATTGAAGTTACTAGGCTTGGTACATTGGCTTAAAAAGAAAATTTGGCAACAAGGATGCACCACTGTCCTGTATAATTACCACAGAGAGAAGTCCTGAAAATAGGATTTCTGTTTCTCAAGGAAAGGATGTGGGATATCTTATACTAGCAAACTGAAATAGCCTTTGTGGCCCATGTTGGCTAAGGTTTATGTGGGACTTGCCAAATAAGTAGAAGTCCTCTAAAGTCTAATTTATAATACCTATATTAATAATTTTCTAAGGGTAAATCAGTGTGTACATACTGAAATCATTTTCTCTGTAAATGGTTGGATTTCATTTCACCCTTAAAGGGATGTTTAAAGGAAGAAATAAAACAAATTACACAATGAAAGGGACCCTGGGATGTGTGCTTGTTTTTATTTCGAACTAGAACAGGAAGACGCTCAAGGAAGAGGGTAAGAAAACCTGTTTCTTTCAGCTCTGAATAAACACACATGCATATATGGGAAAGTATGCAGTGTTAAAATATTTGTGTTCTTTTTAATGGGGTGTAGATTATGTAACCATTTTTTCTCACAGTTGTGACAGCTTGATTCAGCCATCTATTCTAGTTGTTTAAACAAATTGCATGACAATTAACTTCGTCCCCACTGGATTCTGAAAAAGGCTCCAGTTAGCATTAGAGTTTATAATCCAGACACAGAAGAATGCAGAAATATTATATTAAATATTATATATTGCAATAAATTGCTTAATATTGCTATTAATTATCAAGATAATTTAGAAAGGATATGAGCTGGATATTGATGGCATATGTAAATTGATAAAGTGTTTTTTTCCCATTACAAATAAAGTTATGGACAGAGTGGAAAAAGTCATTGGGAGGTCATTTTACACTAAACTTTCTCTTTCAAAGGTGGGAAGAAGCACTGCTACTTTACCTAGAGTTTTCCACTGGAACATTCTATGTCAATTGTTTTCCACTGGACTAAAACCTGGATCATCTCTCTGTGTTCCATGTTCTATACAGATCAAAAGTTGAAGTGTTTTCAGCAACCTACTCTAGGGAACAAGGAAACTGCAAACATAAGCTTGTTTCTACTTTATTTTTGGCCTAGGAACTATTACCCACTTTATGTAAAAAATATCCAAGGGAATGAGTTTTCAAAACAAAAGTTTATGGAAACCTTTTTTAAATGCCTATAAGATTGTTTAAGTACATTTTCCCACCTTGCCCATAGAAACAGCTATAGAAGCCTAGCAAGGAACGATCTAAATACCATGATTCATTCAACTAAGCCCTGAACTAGAAGAGGAGCAAAAAATACAAACTTTTCTGTTTATTGGCTTGAGATTTGTCTAACATACAAACAAATTGGTGGCTGGGCCCTAACGGCAGCATCTACTTTGAGCATGTGTTTATGTAAATGCTATTTTTCCCTTGCTCCATTCCCTTACCTATTTTTGTCCAAGTAGTAGAGATAGAATCATTTTATAGTGTCCTTGTAAAAACGAAGAGACTCTTGGAATATTTGAAACAATACTGTTCAGAATGGCTGTTTGATTCAAGTTTGCAACACACCAGTGCATTTTATTTAAAGATAAGGACAAAGGTATTTGAATATGATTCCACTGCAACTTCAACATGCTCATAATATCTGTTTCAAGCCTGAGATCTTTTATACATCCATTGTGAAATATATATCCAGTGTATTAAAAGGGAATTCTACATAATTTAACCTGTGGTCAATTATTCATTAGAAGTTTAAGCATTATAAATCATGGATCCACTTCATATATTTTGTTTGCAATTTGAGATTGGAACAGAGATTAACCAGTGACAGCTGATATTATTTAAAAACATCTCCATCCCTTCAATCATTACAGCAGTTAACACAGAGTTTGGTTTTCTATTTTATAAAGTGAAGATGAACAAACACACCACAATGAGTCCTTCTGATACATATAATGATTTCAGACTACAGAGAAAATTCAATTTTTCAATGAAGATCAGCTTTACCATTCACTCATTTGCACTCTCACTGTACCAAGTTTTCCAAATATTGGAAAGATTATTGGATTATTTAAAATAGCAATAATTGATTTAATAATAATTAGCACCTCACTAATTAAATAAAATGTATAAAAAACATCTTCAATTATTAACCAGTTTAAGCAGTCTTCAATTAATGGAGAATAAATTAAGTAAGTAATATTTTGGCCCACATTCCATATTATAATATACTCAGGACTTGTCACAGGAAAAAAGAATGTCATGTTCTTCCAACTCATTATCTGAACTGCTTAGTGCTTTCTCATTTCAGTTTTCCCCTTAAAACAAACAACTAGCCAAATGATATCTGTGAAACTCAGACACAGAGGAGAGCCCCTACCTGAGGCTGTATTCTGGTCTCAGTGCCCAGCTTGGTGTGATCTGCTCCCAAGTTTGTCTGGTGGTTGAGCAAGATGTATGGTCTCAGCTGGCCCCTGACTATATGAAAGACTGAGGATAAAGCCTGGTGACAGTATCAGACAACATCAGGAGAAGGAGTTGGCTGGTGGTCTTTGTGAAAGCTCATCCTTTGCCTGGTTGATCCAGTGCAGCTGCCTAGAAGTTGGAAGAAGGATGCTGAGTGGCTGGAGGCAAGTTATGAGATAGCATGGTTGAGGAATGACTGGGGCTTGAGCCCTCTATCCCCCCTCCCCCAACATACCTCAGGTAGGAGACAGAATGGGGAATAGAGGCTTGCATTAGTTTGACAAGATTGTGTGCTTTTTTGCCCTCCACCTCTGGTGAGAATGGGTTGGATTTTTTTAGAGGGGATTGGCTCACAGGTACTACGTGTCTCATCTGATGCTATCCTACCAACTTGGAGGAAGGGGGTTTAAGACTGAAGTGTGAACGGGACCTTTAATGACTGGGGAAAGGGAGTGAGAGGTGATGGTGAGATATTAGTCAGGGGTTATATTCAGGGGAGAAAACTGTGATGCTGACAGGCTATGGAAGCGTGGGAGCAATGTCTTGTATCAATTTCTCATTCCAACCCTTTGCCTCCATCTTCAACTATTGGTTACTGAACCTTATGCAAGCAAGGTGTTTTGAATGTCAGGTTAGCCTCTAATAATGCTCCTCATGAGATCTGGGATCAGGAGCCCTGGTGGCACAATGGTTAGAAAGCAGTATTGCAGCTACCTCTGCCCATAGCCAGGAATTCAATCCTGACCGGCTCAAGGTTGGCTCAGCCTTCCATCCTTCTGAGATTGGTAAAATAAGGACCTAGACTGTTGGGGCAATATGCTGACATTTATAAATTGCTGAGAGAATGCTATTGCTTATCTGACCCTGGATAAGATGGCTGGCATATATTGTCAAGACCTAGCTGGGCAAAAGTAGCAGTGGCTTACTTTGAAACATGAACAGGGGGTATCAAACTGCAACTCTAAGCCAGAGTAGGAGATTCCTATCGTTTTCTTAAGATCTGTAGGAGCTGACCTGCAAACAACTGTGCTTGAGTCATAATTGTGAGATTGGGTCTTAAGAATCAATAGAGAGTTCTGCTACTTTACTCACCTCCCTGCTACTTGGCAGCCTCCCTGCCTGCTCTGCTCAGTGCCACCTCTGGATTTGTAATGAAGTCCCCCAGGACTTTAATCTGCTGTCCTTGGGGACAGACTTAGAGGCAGTGCAGGAGTTTGTGACCATCTGGGATTTGACTCAGCTTATTGCAGGCCAATCCTCAGGGCAGGTCATAGATTAGATTCAGTTTTTATTTTGGGGTAATGGTAAGGTGACCAACTTTTTTACAACAAAAAGGAGGACACAAATAAATTGAAGAAAAAATATCGTAAATAAAAGAAACATTGTATTTATTGCAACAATAATACAGAATACACTATAATATGATAAATGCATAATAAAAACCATTTGTAACAATAACATTTTATATTGTAATTACGCTTACATGCCTATTAATTATTTAAATGAGTATTTTTCCATTGAATGAATATTTTTCTCAATGTATCATCTTTTAACAATATATTGGAAATATCTGAACAAGAAATATCCTTCATATTGAATTTTACGGCTAGTGCTGCAGCTAGACTATCAACATTCAATCTCGATTTCTCACTTGTCCAAAAATCTACATGGCTGGATTGCGCAGGGGTGGGCGGCGGAGGCAGGTGTTGTGAGCCAGGCGCTCCAGGACGGCCACGTAGGTGCGCAGGATGAGGTGGTGGCAGTGCAGGTCAGCACTGCATAGACCACCAGCTGGCGCAGCCCATGGAAGGTCAACTGCCTGCCGCGCCCCCACCCATAGCCGCCCCGCCAGCACCGCTGCCCTGCCATGGAGAGCTGGCCCCGCGGCTTGCAAAGCACCAGCCGAGCCAGCTCCGGCCCTGCAACCACCCCCCAGCACCACCGCCCACTCTGCACATCCCTGTAGAGCCGGCCCCACGGCTCACAAAGACAAAGCACCAGCCGCGCCGGCTCAAGCCCTGCAGCCACCCCCCAGCACCACCACCCACCCTACGCATCCCCGTAGAGCTGGCCCCGTGGCTCGCAAAGGCAAAGCACCAGCCACGCCGGCTCTGGCCCTGCAGCCACCCCCCCATCCGCCCCCCAGCACCACCACCCACCCTGCACATCCCCGTAGAGCCAGCCCCACAGCTTGCAAAGGCAAAGCACCAGCCATGCCAGCTCCGGCCCTGCAGCTGCCCCCCCCCAGCCATCCCCCAGCACCACTGCCCACCCTGCACATCCCCATAGAGCCGGCCCCGCGGCTTGCAAAGGCAAAGCACCAGCCACGCCAGCTCCGGCCCTGCAGCTGCCCCCCCAGCTGTCCCCCAGCACCACTGCCCACCCTGCGCATCCCTGTAGAGTCGGCCCTGCGGCTCGCAAAGGCAAAGCACCAGCTGCCCCGGCTCCGGCCCTGCAGCTGCCCCCCCAGCCACCCCCCAGCACCACTGTGCACCCTGCACATCCCCGTAGAGCCAGCCCCACAGCTTGCAAAGGCAAAGCACCAGCCATGCCAGCTCCGGCCCTGCAGCTGCCCCCCCCCAGCCATCCCCCAGCACCACTGCCCACCCTGCACATCCCCATAGAGCCGGCCCCGCGGCTTGCAAAGGCAAAGCACCAGCCACGCCAGCTCCGGCCCTGCAGCCACCCCCCCAGTCGCCCCCCAGCACCACCACCTACTCGGTGCAACCCTGTGTAGAACTGAACAGGGAAGATCAAGAGAAACTTACCACTCCAGTTTCCTCCAGCTATCTGCGGAACTAAGTAGGAGATGGTGTAGTTGGGTAGCAGTGAGGGGTGCAAAGTTCCTGCAACTTGCACGTGCAAAGTTTGCCGCCCGGGTGTTTTGGTGTGCTCAGCAGCAATTCCTATTGGCTTTCGAAAGCCAATAGGGGGAGTAGCACAGCTCAGGCAAAAGTTGAAAAAAACCATCAAAAAAGGTCCCGGAACGCCTTCTGAGCGTTCTATGAGGAAAAAAAAAGCCCTGCAGATAAGTTTTCAAATATAGAAAAAGAGGACATTTAGGAGGACATTTTTGAGGGAGGACAGAACTCACAAAAGGAGGACTGTCCTCCCAAAAGTAGGACGGTATATGGAAAAGGCGGACATTTAGGAGGACATTTTTTGAGGGAGGACAGAACTCAAAAAAAGGAGGACTGTCCTCCCAAAAGGAGGACGGTTGGTCACCTTAGTAATGGTGATGTGATTTTGTGGTAGACAGATCACTCCCTGGAGATCATGAATTTTATTTTTTTAATGATGTATGGTTATTTCTTTTTTGTTAATGTTTATTTTTGTTGTATGTTTGCCAGAGTGATATTGTTTGAGTTAGGCTTAAAATGAATAAATAAGCTTCCTGCGAGGAATACTGTGCATTGTATAGGAAGAAGAGAAAAATCAGGCTTGCAGGACTTTTTGAAGAAGCTACTATTACTGGCAGAAACATAGTCTACTGTAGTGGGAAGAAGGAGAAAATATCTGAAATTATGATTCATTAATTCAGGGCCAAATTGTGGTTGTATCCCTATCTGATTTGATTTTGCTCTCCTGATGACCTTGCACCTGTCAGATCGAGAAATATTTAGATAATGGTGTATACCTTACATGTAATGCTAAAGCTTGTTTGGCTTACTGTTTATTCTTGCTCTTAGTTACAGAAAACCTCATTAGTTAAAGAAAAACTTCAACATATATTTGCTGAAGGTAGTTTGCATTCCTGGTCCATTCATCAAGACACAAACACAACACAATGAAGGAATCAAGCAGAACCAATATATAAAATAAAACTTTTCCCTTGCAATGCAGATGAGTCCAAAATATTCTCTGAATATCTCAACTGAATGGAATGGAAGCAGACTTGCCCTCATAGCAACAGTTTTATGAATTTAGATCTGAAGGACCTGATATGGTAGCATGCAACAAGTTCTGCCAGAGCCAGAATAAATTAAGCAAACTAAGGAAATAACAACAAAACAACAACAACAATAATAATAATACTTCTGAATGTAATTTCTATAGTGTGGGTTTGACCAAGGATTTTGCATTTTGGCTCCTTCAAGAGCCTTAGTCCAGAATGCCTTAGTCAGGAACTAGAGGGAAGTTGTTGCAGGATGGAAAGAGTAAACAATAGAATGACAGCTAGCAACAAAAGTGCACTTGATCATAGGCCAAAGATTTGGGTGGACTGAAGTCCCATTACTATGGAAAAAACAACTGAGATTAAATTGCTTCTTATGCTTGAGAAGTTTATAGAAGATTTGACTGTTGCCTGGATCTTGAAGATTTGCCCTATCTAAACAAAAGTAGCATTAGAGGAAAACATCATTCAGATCAGTAAGCAACGTAGTAGCTGGTGCAGATCCTACTTTAGCACAAAGAATGTGTGTTTACAGAGGTAAATCAAGATTTAAACATGTTCTTTTACTAGACTGAATTTCTTATGAATGAGTAAGTGGACTGGACATCAATCCCAATGACCCTAGGAACGTTCTGCTGGAAGAAAATCTGAAATATATTTGCACAAAAATCTTTTTAACATACACACACACTTCATCTCACTCCAGCATCTTTTTAAAGGCCCTCTTCTGTAGTTGCTGGTTTATTAGATAGCAAGAGCTTTATTAGAAAGAGCGTTTGAAGGGAGAAATGTTAATATTATGATAATGATTTTTATTAAAAAAGACTCTTGAGGTTGATACTTAAAAGAGGCTTTGAATTATGAATGTAACTATTGGTTATGTTTTTCGCCTTGGTTTCTGATATTATATGGACATTTTAATTACCATTTTTAATTTCTTACTCTGATTTAATGTATTGTTCTATGAATGGTTTAAAGTAAATTGATGAGATTGTAATCCACTAAGAGTCTTCTGGTTGCGGTGAGAGTAAATTGAACAAACAAATACAAATAAATAATATAATAATGCAAAACTATCTTCTACTATCATTTACTCCTAGTAATCATTACATTTATAACTGCAGAAAACTGATGCGTGCAAAACTAGATTCCAGTATATCTTGATGCTGGACATATCCTTTGATGCTTCAACTCAATAACAATTTAATCCGATGGTGCCTTGTAAGACTGGACAGTGGTTCAGATGTGATTCCAAAAAGCATCTTCAAAGTGTACAAATATAGCATTGTATATATATATTTTAAAATAGCTGCAATATTTCAGGAAAAGGCCCAGTTACTTTAAACATTGACACAAATGCTACATTTATTTTCCCATTTTTCTAAAACACCATTTTGAAATAAAATCTGAAGTTTTCCACAATTCTAGTAAATTACCCTTGTTTGCCCATCAATACTGAATCATTATTACTGTCTTTTTAAAGGCCCTTCTGAAACCTTGGGACATGTGGGGGTTGCTCTGTAACTGGCCATCCTCTTTGCACTATTTCCAGATTATATAAAATGTAGGGAACTAAACTGGTTTAGCAACCAGCTATGCAACTTCCTTTCCTTTTTTTCTGAACAAGCCTGAACTCTTCTCTATGTAACTCCAATGCCAACAACACTTCCTCTTTGCAATCTATGTGTGTTTTATATACTGAAATCAGCAGGAGGTAGTAAGCATGACATTTTACCAACTACAGATTCATTTCTTAGACAGTAGATGAAGTATGCAGAAAAAAAATAAGTCTCCCAGGGAAGTGATAAGTTTGGATATTTCATGAAACAGAAAGAGGAAAGAAAATAACAATTTTGTCCCTTCATCATACCAGTACAGAATAGATTTTGGTACACCCAAACCAAAGTAACATGTTTATTTTATCGTAAAATATTAAAGTCCAGGTTCAATCAAAACTTTATGCTGGTTGTAGTCCATTGGACCATCTTGTAAATCCAAATGCAAATATAATCCATCTCTTATCTTTTTATGCCCAGACTTTCAAAGCCTAACTGCAGGCCCTAGAACAAATAGAGCAATCCCAATCTATGAATGATATAAAAACTACCATATCAAATTGTAAAATGACTCATAGGAACTTGTGACATGGCAAAAACAATTTGTTGCTAAATATACAATTTAGAATTGAAATAATTGGTTTTATGCATCCATGGGAGGGGGGGGGAGAGCCAGAATCACCTTTGTTTCCCTATAGTGCTTTGAAACATTTAACTTATCTGTGCTATAATACTGTGTTAGCCTATAAAATTCCAAGAAAATTTGAGTTCACCCAACATAAAAGGCTACAATATGGTTCGCTACTTTGTGTCTCAGTGTCTTATATAAACCTAACTTATGAAGTTCAGGGCATTGTGCAAACTTAGCCATTACATATATCATTACACATACAGTATGGAAATCTCTTACAGTAACTTTCCTAAAAGTCACGCTTTCACCAAAGCAGAAGATAATTATGAGTCTGAAATAC